GCCGCCTCTGCTACTGCTGGCGAAGTGACGTGAGGGCTGACGCAGAGCAGGGGCAGAAACTCCAGAAAATTAGTCTGAAATCCAAAAACACACACGCTCACACACACACAAACCCATAACACCCTCCAGACAAAAGCAACAGGGAGGGGAGGAGAATCTGGGGGCGAGCGGGGAGGAGGGAGGCATTGGTGCCACTGGCCAGCAGCAGCATGTGGGAGTTCACACACGCGCGCACACACGCACACATCCTGGCCGTGTAGACAAGCGCGCGCGCGCGCGTGCGTGCGCGTGTGTATGTGTGTGTGTGTGTGCATTTAGATCCAGGTACCTCTGAGATGGACCGTTCCGCGGCTCGACGCCTCCCAGTCCCTAATTCACACCAGGATCTCTTCTACCATTGCTGTGGAGGCTGTTGCCCTTTTTGAAATGGAAACCCGACTTGGTTCAGCTCTGAAAAATGCGCTGATTCTTATTATAGGAATCCGCTCTCCCCTCTCCCTCGCCGCTACGTTCTCCTTTCCCACCCTGCCTGCCTAAAAGGCAAAGAGAGCCATCCTAAAATTAAATAAATATTGTAAACACTGAACGTGTTCTGCACTGGTAATCGAGGACCACCGCCCCCGTTCCGGGCCACCTATTTGGGGGAATGATGGTTTTGGAGGGTCTCCCTGTTGGTGCTTTTGCAGAGAGCGGGGAGTCTCCAAACGCAACTCAAGCTCTCTAAGTGGGTCTTTCTCCGGCGGTTTTCTGCCATCACACGCCAGCGAATTAGAGACATGTGAGGCGAAGGGAGAGAGCCTGACGCGTACTGGGTTCTCCAAACGCGCGACAGCAACCCTGGCCTGTCCGATGTGTGGCGTCGCGTCATTTTCTCTCATTCCTCAACCTGGCAGGATGCAGCCATTTCCAGATTGTAGCTTCACTCCCCACAATACCCACCCCCACGCGGGGCACCCCAAGCCCTTGCTCCGCTGCCGTACCTTGCGCGTGTTCGTGTATGTTCGGGTGTGTGCGAACGCATGCCCTGCGCCCGCGCTGCCCGGAGCACAGTTGCCTCCAGCTACCGAGAAGCCCAGCACCGGCAGAGCCTCGGGGTCTCACTAGGGACACATGAGGCGATCCCGGAGGGCAGGGTGACAAACCTTAACTGCTCTGTGGACTCAGTTAAATGATGGCTGCGGGCATTCGCGAGCCTTGTCTGAGAATCCGTCTTCCCATTTGCGGCTCAGAGAATGTTTTTCCGCAGTCATTTAAAAGGGAACTGGGAAAATGCACCGCAGTGCCTGACACTTCCGAGGGCTCTGGTGCCCCCGCGCGGGGAGAGAGCGCCCGGCAAGCTCCGGAGCACTAGCCCACGGCCGCGGCCTCCGCGAGCACCTCGCTGGGGGCGCGCTCTGGCGCCAGATGCGCAACCAGCCGCGTTTGACGCGTGCGCGCCCCAGACAACCCGTCTGCTGCTCACAGGACCTCGCGGAGGAGCTCCTGCCCAGAAGAAGGCAGACAGTCCTTGGCGCAAGAGAAGGCGACGAGCTGGGGTCTCACTCAGAACAAGAGAAGGGTCACCAGTCTGTCTGCAGAGGCTGGGATGGGAAGGATGGAGAAATTGGACGTCAGAGTGTATGCTCGGATCTAGTCGATGCCTTAAAAATGACAAGGGAATGCAAAATAACGAGTGCGGCTTTCATAGAGATCCTGAGCGTTGAGGGTAAACACGAAATCCGCAGGTGGCACCCCACGATTTCGCTGCAGGCCCCTAAGACAAGGTCAGCAGGTCTGCCTCACCACTACCACTCAGCTGTGACAGCCACTAGGTACTGAAGGACCAGGCTGCAGTTCATAGCTTAGCTGGGCCTCCATCCTCTAATCGGTGAGGATGTGTCGAGGAGAGGAAGCCAAGGGTAAAAATGCCACGGCCCAAGTCACACCGTAAAATTTCTCCTTTATTGCCAGAGTCTCTTAAGTGGAGAACTCCCTCCCCCCCCCGCCCCCCGCTCCTCCCGCTCCTCACCCCCACTCCCCAGGAACACTTGGGAAGTGTTTATAGCATTACCCACATCTCTCTCACACTCCCCATCCTTATTGGTTTTTCTCCGAAATGGCCTACTTGCACCCTAGTGGCTTCAATGTCAATTCAGCAGCTGTAGAGTCCTTTGCAGACCAGAAGATTCCACTGATGATTATGTAGGAATATGTGTGGGCTGTGTTTAGAATATGGACATACCACTATTGTATTTAGATCTTAAAAATGTTTCACTGACTATCTCCAACTTGAAAATTAGAACTGACAGCCCCACTGATTATTTTTATTTCTTCTTTCTTTCTTTTTTTTCTTTCTTTCTTTCTTTCTTTCTTTCTTTCTTTCTTTCTTTCTTTCTTTCTTTCTTTCTTTCTTTCTTTCTTTCTTTCTTTTCTTTCTTTCGCTACAGGACTTGTATGCTCCCTGGAGACAGAGAGAGAAAGTGAGAAAGTAAAAAAGTACCCACCCCAAAGGAGTTGGTCACACTGCAATCCCTTCTCCTCTATTCACCCCTCAGAATTTTGAGCACCATGTGCACACATCCGGTGTCACCTGCTGTGTCCTCAAACCACTGGGTCTGGGATTCCAACCTCACAGTCAGCCATGTGGGATTCATCCACCTTAACCTCCTGCAATCTACTGGCCCCTGGAAACCCCACTTCTAATCATTCTTCCCCAGCTCTGCTTTTCTGTCCATAGTAGCTTGTCCTTTTAACAGAGCAATTACTTATTATTTTTATTTTTTTTCCTCCCAGCAGAATGTAAGCTTCAGAAGGCATGGATTTATATTCGTTTTACCTTAAGGACGTAGCAGGTGTTAAAGATATGTATGTATTTTGTAAATGAAGTAAACTTAGGTTGAAATCTCTCTTTGCTAACCTCTAACCCTACTAGTCCATTTGGACAATTCCCATTGGACACCCTCTCTTCCATCTGCACAATTCAAATCTTCCCTTTCCTCTGAGTTCTTATAGCCCTTCTTTTTTTTATTTATTTTATTTTATTTTATTTTTTTATTATCATCATCATAATCTTCTTTATATTACATTGGATTACATATAACTTTACAGTGTATTACATTGTTTTTTCAAAAGGGAATGCCATGCATGTCCGTCAGTACAGAGACATTAATCTCCCCACTTCAACATTCAATATCTTTTCTATGTTTTCCCCAATCATTATTTTTATTATTCTAATTATTTTTTAAAACAGTCAATTGCTATTTCTCATTTTGCTTGTAAAAATACTTTGCCCATCATGAAATACTTCTCAGACCAATCCAGTTGAGAATGCTATACATGTCATCAACAGTTAATAAGCCATATCTGTTTCTCACTCACGTCCTGCCTCTCTATTGTTCTCTTGCTATCTTTCTCTATCCTCTTCTCTTCACTTACCCCATTCCACACTGTTCTATTCTCATTAAGTACCTTCACTGCTTTTATATCCTCTGATTTTTTGCTCTCTATCATAGAGTGCGGATAGTTGGTATATATTGAGTGGATACATACAATATCTTTCTTTCATAGCCTGGCTTACTTCACTCAGCAATAGATCCTCCATATCTGACCATTTTCTATCAAATTCCAGGGTCTTGTTATTTTTTATGGCTGAGTAGTATTCCATAGAGTATATATACCACACTTTTCCAATCCATTCATCAGCTTGTGGACATTTAGGTTGGTTCCATGTCTTGGCAATTGTAAATAATGCTGCAATAAACATTGATGTGCAAGCACTTTTCTGACTGAGCGTTCTCCTGTCTTTTGGGTAAATACCCAGAAGTAGGATTGCTGGATCAAATGGTAGTTCTATTTGTAGATCTTTGAGGAACCTCCATATTGTTCTCCACAGTGGTTGAACTAGTTTACATTCCCACCAACAGTGTAGGAGGGTTCCCTTTTCACCACATCCCCGCCATTATAGCCCTTCTTTTTCTCTTTTCAACAAAAATAATTTACTTGAGTGCACTTTTTAAATTGGTACATAATAATTGTACATGTTTATGAAGTACAGGGCAATTTTTCAATATGCAAATATAATGTGTAATGATCAAATGATGGTAATTAGCATATCCATCATCTCAAATATGGATTATTACTTTGTATTGGAAACATCCAAAATCTTTTCTTTTAGCTATTTTGAAACAGAAAAAGTATTGTTAACTCTGGTCACCTTACTGCACTATAGAATACTGGAACTTAATCTCATCTGCAATTTTGTATCCGTTAACCAACATCTCCCTGTCTCCTCCACCCTATCTGCTTTCTAGCATCTGGTAACCACTCTTCTACTCTGTATTTCTCTCCAAGTACTTCTTAAAACATTATTTTCTGCCTCATTTAGTAGCCA